AAAAATATGTTTTTTGAAAATTGTTAAAAACGGAGTTATCTGTTTTTGCGAATGAACTCTTCATTTATGAATGGATGATTACATTTAATTCAAATACTGTCACTTCCTTCGTTCTTGAATGAATCACCCATTTGAATGAATCAATGATTCAATGATCCATTAATAAATACAGTTACTTGCTTCATTCTTGAATGAATCGGCTGTTTAAATGAATCGGTTGAATAAATGACTCAATGACTCACTCATTAAGACAGTGACTTGCCACCTACTGGCAGTTTTAATTTCATATTTAAATTATCATTTCATATAAAATAATTTCAATATTCAGTATATTATTTTAAAAATATTTATCTGAATGAATCAGCAGGGTCCAGTTAGAATGAATTGGTTGAATAAATGACTTCAATGAATTACTTAAAGTATCATTTAATTTTTCAAAAAATATGCATTTCAATATGCAAAATATTAATTTTAAAACAATCTCATAGCATTGTTTATGCAGCTGTAATTGCAGTGCCTCTTTTGCAATGCAAAAATGGATTGTTGATACTGATTTAATGTTATTTGGTAACAGAATATATTGTCTTATTAATATAACTTAATTTATTGATTAAATATATGAATTTGACAAAATATGATGCATACATCAAATAAAGTTAGATAAAATGATCTTATGAAGGTAAAATACCTCTGGAAATTAGTTTAAGGTGGCAAACATGAAAACATTAATTTCTGTAATGGCAAAATATTTTCTAATTATCACCATCGACAAAATCAGAAAATATTTATATATTTTTTTATATAATTTTTGTTTTGTCAATATCACACACCCTTGATCTACATGCATTTCTGATTATTTCTTCTCTGTTTTCTGTAGAAATGTCCAAAGTGTATTTTTAACAAGCTTTTCATTGTCAGTCAAACTGCAAGACAAACTGTGACTGGTTGTTTTACATGTCAGTAAAGTGTCTTCCTGTCCAAATGTGAGTTTTTAGGCAAAAGTCAGCTGCAGTATGGGTAAAATCAGTTAAAGAATTTGTGTTTGTTTCTGAATAGATTTCTTTTCTCCACAGTCATACTGACTCTATATCATCGCTGGCAGTGATGCTAACATAAGCCGGACATTCCCCTGCGATCATGTGTGAGCGAGCGATCGCAGACGTTTTAGCCAAAGGATCCGCAATGCAGATCCGCTGATGGAGGTTGTGAGGTCAAGCCGAGTGTCTGTGAGTCCGATAAACCTCCTCAGCGCTCGGGGAATCAACTAAAACATGAGGACAAAGGCAAAATCGACGGGAAAAACATGCCGCATCGTCCTTGGAATCAATTCCAGCTGAGGATGAAGTGGCTCAAGAGACAAGATCAGAATAACGCTTATAATTCACAAAATTAATTATTAATTAAAGAATCCATTTTTGGAATCAAGCGGTAAATAATAGGCCAGTTTTAGTAAATAATTGCTAAAAAACTTTCTGAGAAGTTGGCACTAGTTAACCTCCCCAACCGACTAGTTGTTTGTTAGCTATCCTGCACAATCTTTAGTTTGTACTGTAAAGTTTAGAGTGTTATTCTAGTATTATTTATATACTATTATAGTTTATATTAATATTTTGAATTGATTTTATTTTATATTATTATTTTATTTAATTGTTTCATTATTTTACATTATGCTTTACATTTATATTGCATTTTATATACATTTTATTACATTTTATCTTTCATTTTACATTTTTTAATACTTTTGTCATTTGTATTACTTTTTTTAAATATTACTATTTAGGAAATTTATTTATTTTAGTATTTATTACTATTATTTTATTATTATTTTGAATTTATTTTCTATATTATATTTTCTATAATTGTTATTTTTTATTTTACATTCAATAATTTTGTAATTTTTATTCCTTTTTTAATATTACTACATATAGGTTTCATTTATTTTTATTTCAGTCTCTCACAGATATGGACTTCTGTGGTCCTGTTCTCCTGCCTTAGTCTTCCTTTGACTTACTTTTCCTGAGTTGCCCTGATTAGTTCATTCTGGTCACCTGTGTTCGTTCTATGAAGTAATTAGTCCCTCTCTTGCTTTAGTATAAATAGTCCTCATTTCTGTTCAGTCCTCGTCGGTTATTAATGTAGGTAAATGTTGGAATACCTGTTCGTCTATGGATTTCTATTAAAGGATTGTTTGAATTGCCTTATTCGTCGTACGCTTACTCTCGCTCCACGCAATTCCGTGACACAGTCATACGGTTAATAATTTTAGTGCTTCACCTTAAACTTATTTCAGTTATTTCTCATTTTTGTGTAGTTTAAGTCTTTATATCTATTTTGTTTTAGTATTATTTATTACTATTATTTTTATTAATATTTTGAAATTATTTTTTATATTTTAACTGGTTTTTATATTTTATCTTTTATTTTACATTTTTTTATAATTTTGTCATTTGTAGTAGTTTTTAAAATATTACTAGTTAGGTTTAATTTATTTTAAAATGTTTGTAGTCAATAACTGTATTGTTTTAAATTAAACCTACTTCATTTAGCTGCCAAGGTGCATATATAAATATAAATATATATATTCTTTAATTTTAGTAACTTAGTCTTTTTCATTTTTTTATGCTAAAAATAAGTAATTTATTTCCTTCAACTTAAACTTCAAAAACGAAGGACAAAGGCAAAATTGATGGGAAGAACACGCTGCGTCGTCCTTGGACTCAATGCCAGCTGGGATGAAACGGCTCAAGAGACTAGTGGTCAAATTCAAACATCAGCACTTATTAAGCGAGGGAAGAGACGAAGAAAATGAAGATGAGGGAAGAAAGCGGATGCTTCTCTTTCTGGCCTGTAAGCAGGAGATCACGGATGACTGGATGATTGGCGTCGCTCTGGGCTCCAGGAGGAGCAGATAATGCTCCGCTGACCGACAGCAGGCAGGAGCGGCCGAACACTGGGCTTAAAATTGGCTGAAAAAGAGCAAATCATATGGAGAAATTCTCTTCTGGAAAGCGGCCTGCCTGACACACACACACACACACACACACACATGGGTCTTGCCTCACTGCAGGGCTCCCATGATGCCAGGCGAGAGAATTAGACGGCAGCTGTGACTCCGACACCAACGCCAACTTACAAATTTTAGTATTTTAGTATTATATGCTATTAAAGATTTTATTAATATTTTGAATTGATTTTATATTTTCAGTTTTATCTTAATTTTAGTTACATTTTTTATAATTTTGTTATATTTTAAGATTTTTTTTTTTAACATTACTATTTATGCTTAATTTATTTTTATATCAGTTTTCCAGTTAGTAATTTAAGTGCTTCAACTGAAACTTATTTCAGGTAGTTGCCAAGGCATCATTTCAAATTTTTGTTTAGTTAAATTTTAAATTTTATTTTAGAATTATTTATTGCTATTATTTTTATTCATATTTTACTTTTTATATATTTTCAGTTTTAATTTAAATTTTTAGTAATTTTGTCAGTTTCTTTATTTTTATTTTTTATTTTTTTGTATGTTACTATTTAGGTTTAATTTTATTTTATTTCAGTTTTCCAGTTAGTAATTTAAGTGCTTCAACTAAAACTTATTTCAGTTACTTGCCAAGGCAACATTTCTAATTCTTTTTTTAATCTAATATTTTTTATTTTGGTATTATTTATTATATTACTAATATTTTATTATTATTTTGAATTGGTTTTATTTTTATATTTTCAGCTTTAATTTTAATCTAAATTTAATTAGTTTTTTAACATTTCAAATTTTTGTTTAGTTTACGCTTTTTAAATTTAATATTTTATTTTTTATTTGTTCTTTTATTTCATTTATTTTATTTCAATTAACAAAAATGTTTTTGTTAACAAGAATAACCCTGAATGTGTAACATCATTTAAATTAGTTTTTCCCTACGCATGCTGGATATTTCAGTGGGATTAACGTTAAAAAAATGTTCTTATTGACCTTGCATCATACGCAAACACAAGGTATATTTTTAAGTTTTTCAAGCTCTTAATGTTAAATCTGTTTCTGTCATGGCTGTTTCCTCACTTTTCTGTCTAAAATGGCTTAAATTTGAATTGTACAGCAAACCGAACTGCAAAATGAATGATCCTTCCTTCCCTAAAGGTTTTCTGTAACACTTCTGCTCATTCATCTCTGCGCTCTGTCTACAAAGATTGGTCAGAAGTTGACATGTCGGGCCGCTCAAACAAACAGATCATTAAACTCAGACACCAGAAAGCATTTAAACAACCCAAAAATGGCTCTTCATGTGTGATAATCAAAGCCTGTTGAGTTTAGTAATTCAACAGGCAAAAGTAATCTAAAAGTAATCCAAAAGTCAGAATACATTACCTAAAATGAGCGACCTAGATTACATTATTGACTACAATTGTCACTAAAGTGAACTAAAACTAATGAAAACTAAAACCATAAATATTTGAAATGAAATAAAAGATACAAAAACAATTTAACCTTATTTTATTTGAGTAAGCTGCAGATGCAATATTTTATATGTTGTATATATAGTAAATAAAAAAGATTATTGGAGTGTTTTACAAGAAAATACTATTTTCAGTCTTTCTACATTTGTGCAAATTACTAGCAATTTGCTAGAGCTACAGTTTTGCATAGTTTAACTTTATATATATATTTAAATATAGGTATATATATATGTATGTATATATGTGTGTGTGTGTGTATATATATATATATATATATATACTGTATATACATAC